GATACCAGAAAACAGCTCCAGAAACTCCAACTGGGCCCACAAACCAAAATATGTCAATTGGGCGATGTAGCTTGTTCAGTCTTTAATAACCATGATAAGTAGAGGACAAATGAGAGTTGAATAAGAAAAAGAGGCAGGTTAAAGCTATGTATGCCCTACCTGGTAAGGCTCATGACAGTGCGAGGGGAATCTGAGGTAATCCAAAGAGTGACAGAAGCCTTGAAAGTAGTGTTCTGACAACTTTCTTTACCTCCACTGCCGTTTGGAAGATTTTCTTTTCTGAGCTGCCTTTATGGTGATACCAGAGTGCCTTGTATCAGTAGTTTGAAGAGATATATGCTTCTTACCCAGGGCCACTCTGATCTTCACACAATCTGTGTAGTCTGTGTAGGGACAATCTGTGTAGGGACTCAGGTAGTCTGACCCCATGGGGCCCCATGTCTCTGCTAGGAGTTGAACCCTAAGCATGGTATGATGGCACACCGAGGAGGGCTGTCAAGGTCACACCAGTAGTCATTTACCCAAAGCACCTTAATCTATACTTTTATAGAAAACAGTATTATCTTAAGAAAGAAGTGGACTGGGGTTAAAGCTCATTATTAACAAGCTTTTGGCTACAGGGTTACTGATGCCATGCCAGTCCCCATGCGATGCACCCATTTTACCATAGCCAAACTATTAGGCAAATATCACCTAGTGCAAAATCTCAGAGCCATCAATGAGGCAGTGGCACCTACTCATCCACTAGTAGCAGATCCATACACCCTCTCAGCACAGATCCCAGGAGACAGCTCCCTGTCTTTGATCTCAGGGATGCCTTTTTTCTATCGCTGTGGATCCTAACTCCCAATATTTGGTTGCCTCTTAATGAGAAGATCCCCAGACAAGTCTTTTCCACGGTATACTTGAACTGTCTTGTCTCAGGGTTTTAGAAACAGCCCCCACTTGTTTGCATGGGCTTTAGCTAAAGACCTAAAAGTTTAAAGTTCAAAAATTGAGGCCTACCATAGTACACAGATGTCTTCATTTATAGCTCCACCAAGAAATTATCTGATAAAGACACCACTGAGACTCTCAGCTTTCTAGGAAAGATGTCCCAACATAAGGCCCTGATTTCTCAACAAAAGGTGACATATCTGGGATACATTTTAACTCCAGGACAAAGACAATTATCCTGAGGGAGAGAAGAGGCAAGTTGCTGTGTGGGCCTTCCAGAGTCTAAACAACAGCTAAGGGTTTTCTTGGGCATGGCAGACTTCTGCTGTATATGGATATCCCATTTTGGAGTAATAACCAAACCTCTGTGTAAGGCAACACGAGGACGAGGAACTGGATGCTTATAATGGACAGAAACCACTCAAGGGGCTTTTCAAACCCTGAAGCAGGTCCTGACTCCAGCCCCAAAATTAGGAACCCCAGACACAGCCAAGCCTTTTTCACTCTTCATGGGTGAAAAACAAGGAGTAGCCACAGGAGCTTGGTGTTTCCAAGCAACAACAGAGAGCTGCTACGACACTTTTAGTACAGGAAGCTTCTAATACAATGTCTTAGGCCAAAGCTCTTAGTTCTAACCCTGCACCAGGTTACAGTTCTGTTAGAACTCAAGGGACATTTGTGAATGACTGGAGAAAGGCTCACTAAATATTAGGTAGTTCTCATTGAAACCCCAGATTTCTTCTGTCTTGCACCATTTTAAACCCAGCCACCCTCCTCCCAACCAAGCAACAGATAGATCATGAGTGTGAACAATGTCATGCCCCGAATTATGCCTGCTGCCCTGATCTGAGGGACCAGTCATTGACAGGTATGGCTAGCACATGATTCACGGAGGGCAGCAGCTTCATAAGGATGGCATTAGGGGGGCAGGTCATGCCACAGTCAGCCCTACCAGGGTCACTGACGAAAGAGGACTTCCCGCTGGGATTTCTGCCCAAAAGATAGAACTTGTTGACTCACTCTTGCTCCTCAACTTGCCCAGAGCAAGAGGACCAATATATATACTGACTCCAAATATGCCTTTCTGATCCTACATGCAAATGCAGCCATCTGGAAAGAAAAAGAACTTTCGACTATTTGCCAGTCTCCAATAAAACATGGCCCAAAGATCCTCAAGCTCTGCGAGACAGTAAATCTCCCCAATGAGGTAGCAGTTGTCCATTGCTAGGTACATCAAGCCTTCTTGTACCCAGTCTGCTAGGGTAATTCTAGGGCAGTTTTCACTGCCAAATAGGTGCCATTTCTTCCCATGTTTGGTGTGTTTTCTGTAACAAAACCAGTCGAGTAAAACTTTGTTCCTTCTAAGTAAAGTAAATTGTGTGACTAGTCTTGATACTCTCTTGCTTCAGTCCCTGTCCCGAGTTGTAAAATGACTTCTTTTGGTTTTTTCCTGTTTCTTTTGGGATCCCCCTGGTTGATTCAAAAACTGCCTCTGATAGAAATAACGAACAGTGATTACTGACGTAAGACCTTAAATCTTATCACATCTTTCTCCTATCATCAGCAGCTACCTAAGAACTTGACCACTGATGTTGAACCTTTTAGAGACCAAGTGCCAAAGTGCAAATCAAAGCCCACTTGTTTATCCCAAAGTGCCAACACTGCAATTAAACCTGAACACTGAGGTTTTAGTTTAGAACAAAACTCTATGAACATCTTTTGTCTTCAAAGAAAAGGGCCACCACCAGCCTAGATGAAATTACTCAGCATATCATCGTCCTTCAAGACCAAATAGACTCCCCAGTAGTGATAGCCATACAATATCATAGGGGACTAGATCTCCTGACTGCTAAAACAGAGAGGTTACGTTTGTCTCTAAAAGAAAAATGTAGTTCGTCTGTCAGTCAGTCTGAAATAGTGAGAGATGTAGCACAGAAAACGGTAACCGTGCTTCTAAGATCCACAAAGAACTGAGTCATGATTCTCTTGGCCAAAATCTAGCATTGGGGGCCTTGGTTACTGTTGTGGACATGGCCTTTATGAATGCTTCTTGGAACCTTACTATTTTAGTCTTACAAACCCAACCTTTTAGTCAAATTTGTTTCTTCTTGTTTGACAGCCATTAAACTACTGGTGATGGCCCTAACCTAAAATCAGCACCTGCCTCCTATCCACAGTTCATCAAGAAATCCTTAGAGGACAAATTCAACTCTCCTGAATGCTTAGGTAAGTCAGAGAGAGGATTCCTTGGTTTCCAGGTTTGTAGGGCCAATACCCCTATTCAGCCAGAAGTAACCAGAAAAGACATGATTTCTTCCTTGCCAGCCTTTAAACATTTGGGTGGATCAAGGCTCTCGAGGCAGAAATAGCACCATTAGAATCAATGGAGCTGAAGGACTCATTCCCTTTCACCCATTTAATTCTAAACAGTGCCCTACAGCCATTCTCTTTCCATTGTCCTAAAAGAGGCAGAAAAGAAAATAACAAAAACGCAGATCTCTGATGTTCTAGGCAAGAGCACACACCTGTTGGATCTCCTAGCCTGATGTCAGTCACCTTTCCTCTACTCCACCCCATTAAGGCTTCATAAATACTGTATGTTCTACCTATCATATAGTACTATATGTACTACATATCATATATGTAATTAAGATCAGAGTGAATTCTGGGACAGGCACGGGTGTTGAGAGCCCCTAAGATGACTCAGTACTCTGTCAATCATTCCTGTCAATCACACCTACAGATTCAGAGGGAGGCACCTGGGTTGGAATGCAATCCTTTAAATCCCAAAAGCCTGAAAAAAAGTTATCTGAAGCTGTTGCTATTTCTGGGGGCTGTGACCTATGTGGGGTGTTTGAACTTTTCTGTCACCCTGCCACCATTTTTCCATCTGTGCCATCTCTTTTGTTGGCATGAACTTGCCCTGAGCACGGCTTTCCATGATCATCAGTAAGTGTAGGTGCTTGCTACTTGCTACTTGGTGTATACTTGCAATTCATTGCTGATCATACATAAGAGCCTAGAATATACCTGTTCATTCCATGGTAATTACAGATTCAATAGGCACAGTGATCAGAATACAGCCAAAGAAATCTGTGCCAAGAAGCATCAGAACCAAACTTCTGACAACTAAAGACAAAAAAGAGCAAGGAAGGGTAGCACACACCTGTAATCCTAGCACTTGGGAGGCTGAGACTGGAGGATTGCCATTGGTTTGAGCCTAGCCTGGGTTACATAGGGAAGTCGAGTCTGAACTCTGAATTACCTAGTGAGACCCTATCTCAAAAAAAAAAAAAATCCCAAAGACAAAGAAAAAAATCATAAAAGCAAGAACAACACTTTATCTGTGGGTGAAGAGCAATTCAAATGGCATCAGATTTCTCATCAGAAATCACAGAGGTCAGGAGGAAATAGCACAATATTCTCTGAAGGCTCAAAGAGAAAGAGAGTCAGCTGCCAATCCTGTGTCCAGTGAAACTGTCCTTCAGGAAGGAAGGAAGGAATCCAAACATTATGGAATGAAGAAAGCAGTGACCCAACTGTGCTAGAAAATAACAATGTCTTCATGAATTCCTGAAGTAAATCCAAGGTGGAGTTATTGACAACTTTGAGAATCACTGTATTTTTTAAGTAGGTTCAAGAGATGAATTATGATTTCTTAGTCTTATTTATTTAGTTATTTAGTTATTTATTTATTTATTTTGGTGCTGGGAATCAAATTCAGGACCTTGCACTTGCCAGACAGATGCTTGTGCCGCTGAGGTATATCCCTGGCCCCTCTTAGTCTTTTTTAAGTAGAAAACGTTTTCCTTCTTGAATAACACCTATCGCTTTTATATTCAGAGACCTAGTATTTGGGATGAGTGTTGCATGATTATGCTGTGTAGGATACAAGGTAGAAACTCGCCAAGAAGAAAACTTCAGAGCTGGGTGTGATGGCACACACCTGCAGTCCAGCTATGCAGGAACCTGAGGCAGAAGGATCATCTGAGCTGAGAAGTTCAAGGCCCGCCCAGGCAACACAGTGAGACACCAGCTCAAAAGTAAAAAAGACAGCAACTTACCTCAAATGAATATGCTTTTCCAATCCCATCACCTGCTCCAGTGATAACTGCAAACAGCAGAAACAGTTTTAAACAACTGAATTTAACTTCTTTTAAAATTAAATTGAGTGTGAGTTTCCCAGGACCCTGCAATCCCTTTGGGAGTTTTGGTGTCCTCTTTGCGAGGTCCTCTGTCTTCCATAGGCTATCCTGTGGGGTGGGGATGGAAGGAAGGCAAAACTTGACCTTTAGAAAGAACCTTGAAATATTCTTAGTATAAACATTAGGCCTGTAGGGAGAAAGATAACAGGCTACGGCCCACCGGCTGTACGTTTCATTGCAACAATATTGCAACACTCAATATTGTACAGAGGCATTACTGCACTCCATAAGGCTCGACTGGGGCATGACTCTCCCAATACCCAACCTGTTTGCCAGCAGAGGCACTGTTCTTAACTCAGCACTGGTGCCCTCGGCAAACACAGGATGCCAAAAAAACAAACTAGAAGGAGCAAGGAATCTTCCAAACATCTAGACACCTGAAGACACCCAAACATTTACGCTGGATGCCTGAAGGAATTTGCCCACTGGGGCATGAAACATCTAGGGAAATTTGAGCCCTGAGGTTTACTAAGGTCTTTCCATCTAATATCCCTTGCCTTCCTTCAAGCCCTATAAAAAAAAGGCCCACTTCTCTCTGCTCCCTACAGATGGCCCTTTCACCCTCTTTCTGCCAGCACCCAAGCACAGAATAAATTCTATACCAGCCTGGTGGTCTCGGCTGGTCTCTGCCTCATGCTGTTCCTTACACACTCTATTCCAAAATTCCCAGTCCTTGATTTCCTCTCCTTAAAAATTAAAAATTAACAGGTAATTTTTGTGTTGTTTTGCTTTGGTTTGGTTTTCGTTTTCGTTTTGGTTTTTAGTGACTGGTGAAGCTGTAAAAAACATACTCCAAAATGCAGCAAAGAATCTCAGCCAAGTAACATTTTATTCTGACGGCTCAGGATTTAGACAGTGTAAGCCTTAATCCATCAATGGCAAGCATTGTGTCCTGTTATCTCTCTCCCTACAGGCCCAGTGTTCCTCCTAAAAGCATTTCAAGGTTCTTTCTAAAGGTCAAGTTCTGCCTTCCTTCTACCCCCACCCCACAGGATAGCCTATGGAAGACAGAGGACCTCGCAAAGAGGACACCAAAACTCCCAAAGGGATTGCAGGGTCCTCGAAAATCTGTACTCAATAGAACTGTCTTTTGGTATACAACACTCCAGTAGGTCTTCTAGCGCTTTTCTCTCCAGCATTGCATGATGCACATTTAGTGAAGTTCTAAGATAAACCTCATTTCTGTGCACACTGCTACTTCAAAACTCATTGCAATTCAATACACACACACACACACACACACCTGCAATTGATCTTTGAATTAGCAGTCAAAAAGCATGTTTTTAAGTATGGACAAAAACACATTATCATACTTGAGAATAGATACAAGCCAAGATGTACAGCCTCAAGCAGTGCACCAGCAGAAACCCCCTCTGTTCAATAATTACTCCTCACTGTATCTGTTCCTAAAGGACCCTTTTGAGTGGGTGAAGGCACACTACGTATTTTCATTTGTAAAGAGACTGTACTAGATTTCTCTTGAGTCCCACTCTCTCCTCCACTAAGGGTGACATAAATTAGGGGTTGGGCAACCTGGACAACTACCTGGAAAGAATGAGCCAAAGGTCACAAAAATGCAGAGGACTTACACAGAACACAGGACTAAATGACTGCATGGCTCCTGAGCATTGTACGTGAAAGAAATCAGAAAGTGCTATTTTAACCCTTCATTTACATCTGATGGGAGGCCAGGCAAGTCTTTTACTAGGGCAATTTAAATCTAGTGTCAGGCAGGGTGAGCTTTTGATAGGACAAATTGTTGCAATGTCTTATTTGAATGACGAGGAAGCCAGTCCAAGAATTTTGAATACAGAATACCCCTTTCCCTTATCCCCAGCATCCTGCTCTCACCTAGCAGCATGCACCTCTTTGTTGCCTACAGTAAATGTACACATTTGCTGCCTTTTCTGTGTTTCTCGTCCAAGTCTTTGTTCAGGACACCAAGAATCTGGAAAGAAGCCCCCCAACCAGACAAAATATCTGGGAATCTTCAAGATCATCTAGTACAAGGGATAGAGTATAATTTAGATTTTAACACTCATAGTTACAATGAATAGCTAACTAATGATTACTTTATGTGTTATTTCAAGTAGATTAGATGTATCATTCCAATTAATGCTCAAAACAAGTTTATGATTCGGGACCAGCATTATCTTAGTTGATACATAAAGAAGCTTCTGGAGAGAAAGTCCTCAATTTTAAGAGGCCTCACTGCTAAAAATAATGACAAAAAATTTGAACTCAGGCTGATTTTGGGAGCCCTAAGTCCATGAAAATACACCAATTAAAATAATTAAGAAATCAAGCATGGAGCTCAGGGAGTTTAAAAATTCAGTCTCTAGTAACTCGGTTTTCTTATTATCCTGTACTTGAGATATATGATCTCTCTAATGTCTGTCTGTGCCCAAAGACATTTTAGTCTTGCAAATGACTACTCTATTCAGTCTCAACTCATAAAAACAGATTAAGATTATATTTTTCACTTAGAGTCCACAAATGGCCCATCTCTGTCCCATCTGACTTCTTTTGGAATGTGTATTTTCAGAGAGCTGGGTCCTAGGTTAGTGGACAAGGGCTGTGCAAATTTCACTCATCACATGGCCTTCAAATCTATGGAGCAGGGCTCTGAGGTCCACAACACTCAGGCTCAAGTCACTTAGCAAGTTCACTGGAGACAGCATACTACTGAAGGAAGCGAGAGGTACACACATTTGCACACGTGTGCACATGCACATGCATACATACACATATACACCAATGTGTAAGAAGCATCCATTATAATTCCATTGCCATTCTAAACAATTTCTCATATGGTCATTTAAAAAATTTCCAATGCTAAGCCAGGTTTAACAACTGAGGATATGGGATCCCCTGCTGACTTGAATTTGTGTGTGATATATCCAGATTGTAATGTACTTAAAAAAATTACTTCTTGATAACCTGAAATTCACTTAGTACTCTGTGTTTTCTTGGGCATCCCTATAAAGATATTATTATTTCCTTTTTAGCCTGGATGTTATTTCTAAAGCTGTTTACTTCAAAATGTTTTTCACTGGTACATGTTTGCAGTAGCTAATGATTACATGTCTCATGGGGGAGTTTGTAAGGTGTCTCAATTCTTTGTTCATTCCCCTCCCCTTTCTCTAACTCTTGTTTTCGGTTTTTTGTTTTTTGGTTTTTTTTTTTTTGAGACAGGGTCTTGCTATGCAGTTCAGGCTGACCTTGAGCTCACTTTGTAGCCCAGGCTGGCCTCAAACACACAATGATCCTCCTGCCTCAGCCTCCTGAGTGCTGGGATTACAGGCATGAGCCACCACGCCCAGCTGTCCAACTCCTGTTAATTTTTAAATTACTGGGTTGATTGACTGATTGGCTGATTGATTGATTTTAGTATCCCACTTTTAAATATAAGCCCCTAGAAAGAATTTAGCTTTTCCCTCAAGGCAATACTGAAACCCTGACCTTAACCCTACCTAGGCTGAAATTCTGCACAATGGTTCCAATAGATAAATCCCATTGAGAGGCATCATTTAATTACTGCAGAACAGACCCAGATTCTGTATCTAATCATGTTCAAGATGGGGCCTCAGAAATCTTTGTTGCCTTGACTTTGTAACAGCCTTCCTTCTTAAAGAGGCTTGGATAATTTTTTTTTAATAAAGTGAGTTAACCTTCTTTACATTTCAATTTTTTGAAACACCGTTTTGGCAAAATGGAAGCACCCTGGGGTTTAGAAATTTGGAGATGTGGATACAAAAATTTCTGCCTTATTTATTATTTGTATCACTAGAAATCTCCAAAAAGAAGAACACCCAGCTAGCAAAGTTGAAAAGATATGGGCAAAAATTGATTAGCCTTCTTTCTTAGTTACGCTCCTGAGGGGCACATTTTGTTCTTCACACATTTCTAATATCACTTATTCTCTTCAGTCCCATAAATGAATTAAATTTAAAATTGAACTCTCAAAGGAATTACATCTCTGCAGTCAATATATCACATGCAATACATTTTGCAATATATCTAGCAGTATGCCAGATGCAATATACATCATGAGCCCTAAGAATAAACACAAACAACCAAATTAAAAAAGCAAAGCTGGAAAGCCCCCCTTACCTGCCCACTGTCCCATGGATGGCAAGAAAGATGGGGGCACAGCTCTCCTGAAGCTCAGAAGAATATATTTGGAGAATCTCACACACTTCACCAGGAAGGCCAGGCACACCAGCAGCCCTACAAGAATGAAGAAGTGATCCAGAGTCTCCCCCATGACTACTGCTCCACAGCAGAAGCTGCTTCCAATCTGGTCCTGACTGCTACCACTGGCATCCAGGGGTGGGGCCACCTAAAGCCACCCCTTTCCTTCCAGAAGCCAAGGTACATTCTATTTATTCAGAGGCATTTAGATTAGGCTTACTTTTTTGCACAGCCCTCTGGCTGACAGGCTTCTGAATGAAGTATTCTTTCTGCTATCTTTGTAGAACTAGACGTCCTCTGTTACTGTGTCTTCAGTGATGAGGAAAAATCAAACCTAGACAAAGAAAAGATGGGAGTCTGGGCTTCTTTTCCTGAATTGGAAAAACTTCTATAGTTTGGCTCCCAAAGGTTCATGTATTGGAAGCTTGGTCACAGGGGGGTGATGGAGTCATTAAGAAGCTGGGCCTAGGGCCCTTCATTAAGTCATTGGGTGGAAAGAGTGCCCTCAGAGGGAAATATTGGGCAACTGAAGAGAGTTCTTCCAAGAGCAAGGTGCTACAAAAGCCTGACCCTGACCCCTAAGTAATATCTCCCTGACTTCCTATTTGGACAGGTGGTCCCTGCCACTCACATGCATTTTCATCATTTCCAATCTAACATCTTATGATACAGCTCAGGAAACCCTCATCAGAGCCTGTGCCACACTGGTTGTTCTTTAAGCATTCAAAGCTTGACTAAATAAGCCTCTTTTTAAATAAAGTTAGACCATCTTGAGTATTTGTTACAGTAATGAAAAGTGAATACAGTAACTGCAAAGGATGCCAAATCCAAGTCACATTTATTGGCTGCCTACCAGGTAATAGCCACTATTTAAAGATATAACAGCAAAATAGCAAAGTCTGTGCCTCAGAACTCAGGTTTAGGATGAGAAAAAGACAATAAGAAGATCAGATAATCTCAGATATGAGTTATGAGTGGTGTCATGTTACAGCGACTAGTCAGCAAATTCTTTAGAAAGGGTTTCATGCAGGACTTCTGTGACAAGGTGACCTTTTGAGTTGAAATCTGAATGAAAAGAAGGAGCTAACCCTGCAAATATGAAGCTCCTTTCAGGCTGATGGGTCAGCTAGTTCAATCCCCTGAAATGGGAAAGAGCAAGGTATTTAAGGAATAAATAGGACAAATGGTGGAGGGACTAGTTTGTAGAGAGCAAGGAAGGGAAAAGAAAGTCTCAGGAAGAGGGATCAGCCAGGTCCTCATGGTCAGAAGTTTGGAATTAGCTTAATAGGAAGCTTAGGATATTGAGTTATATAATATGAACTACACATTTAAAAGGTCACTAGATATGTCTTCCTTCTCATACCACATAGTGAAAGACCTTTTTAAAAATCTTTCCCTACCACCTTTTGGAATTGCATGGTCTCCAACTCCCTGAGCTTTGGGTAACTGATTGTATAAAATTACTGTTGAATGTGGTTTTTTGCCATTAGGGGAGACATAGCTATCATATTTAGTGTATAATAGCTGTTGGTCAATACTCGGGCTGTTATAATGCTTACACTATAAACACGGATTTTGTCTTAGTTACTTTTCTCCTTGTTGAGACCAAATACTCAACACCCACAAATTAAGGGAGGAAAGGTTTATTTTGGTCACAGCTGGTCAAGGTTTCAATCCATACTCAGCTGACCCCAAGACAGGGTGGCTTGGCACAGAGGAGAACCAGTTCATAGCAACCAGAAGCAAGCAAACAACGGGGAAGACAGCCTCTATCTGTCGCTTATATTGTTTCCAGGACACTGGGATGAAAGGGTGTACCAAACCAATCAGTAGACTGATTTAGTAATCACACACCCTTAATCCCAGCATCACACACTCTAGATTCAGCCACCTCTGAAAAAGGCCCACCTATGACTGAATAAGGCTTTCAGGGGACACCTCGACACAAGCCATAACAGATTTCTTCTCTAGGCTCAAGGGAAATTCAAAATCAGGTCTCAAGGTATATTACTTCTCAACTAGCCTTTATAGATCCCACTGTAACTCATTAGCTTGTTACTACTGTAGCTGATTTGATTGTATAGGACTACTCCTGACTCAATGTACAATTTTGAGCCAGTGAATGTGTTTGCTGATTCCACATTCACACCGAGGGACAGGGACACTAAGAGTTCCTAACCCAAGAACTCAGACTGGATCAGACTCTGAAAGTGTGCCTGCAGGCTGGTAGAAATAAGTCCTGAGTATGAGTTAGCTTCAGTATTGCAGTGGAGAGATCAGAGGAGTTATTAAAGTGAGAGCACTCAGACTCTCTGGCAAAGAAGCTACATGTGAATCACATAAACACTGTCTCGCTGAAATATTTAAACTGTGTTCCCAATAGATACCTTATAGGTTTGAATTTTTGTTTGTTTCTTGGTTTATTTAGTATGTGGGTGTCTTTGTTACTTTTCTCTCGTTGCTGGGACAAAATACCTGACACCCAAAATGAAGGAAGGAAGGGTTTATTTCACTTACAGTTTGTGGAAGTTTCAGTCCATACTTGGCAGGTTATAAGGCAGAGTGGCACATGGCAGAGGGCTGCAGCTCATGGTGGCAGAACACAGCAAAAGCAACCACCACACACCAGGGAGGAATGGGGGAGGAATCGCCTCAAGCACCCTCTTCCTCTCCCTTACATATGCAAACTATCCACCCCAGGGCAGATGCAGCTCTCACACCCCTAATCAATCAAACTTTAAAAGCCTACCCCATGGCCGCATGAGGCTTTGGGGGGACACCCAGACATAAACCATAACAGTGGGGATATCTTATTTTTTTATGGTTTTCTTTGTTTATTAGATTTTTGCTTTTGAGTATTTTTCTTCCATTGGCTCTGATTTAATAGGTATCTAGGTTCTCTCCTTCATCTCAGTTCCCTATCTAGTTTCTTCACCTCAAAGTCCCACAGCAATACTGTTACCATATTTCTTAATTCTTTTTCAGATATATAAACACCTTCTCCTAAGTTTTTAACTTCACATGCTTAGCTGCCCCACAGTCACTCCTATCTTCTCCAGTATCATCCCTCAATATTCTCCAGCCTATACCTATGGCTCTTCCATAACTTACCTATTGTCCTCCCAGCAGGTTCTGACAACCACATAGCTTTCTGCAATCACAAAGTAAACATCTTTGCTCCCACATCTCACCTCTATCCCTACAAACATACTGTTAAAACTCTCAACACTAACCTTTCAACTCAACTAAAAGTACTTCAATAAAATCAGACCTCGCATCAAACTTTTCTTCTCATCTATCGCTGGCCTCCATCAAAACTCTCCCATAGTGTCTTACATTCCTCATCCAACCACTTTCCATTCTCCTTCTTCCACTTCACCTACAGCATTGCAAAACTACTACAAATAAATTGTCACAGTGTGAATACAGGATAGAGAAAAGGGAGAAGTGTAAATGCAAGGACTATTGTGTAGAAGTACTATATGTTTGAATCTGTTAACACTGTTACAAACAGAAGTAATTCTTTCTGCAAAATATAGGGACAGAGTTCAAATCACTTAAAAGTAAATAACAGGAAGGATACATGCTACTAAAAATCTCCATATAAGCCACAAACTCTCTTTACTCTTCTAGATCTCAACCTGCCCCAAAAAGGAGGGAAAAATAGGAGGATATATATATATATGAAACATATATATATGAACCAAAAAACCCACAGATATATATTCACATAGGAACATAGGGAAACAAGGCAATAGAAGACCTCAAAGTTCTTCCAACTCTCTCAAGGAAGAAGAAGGGTTCCCAAAGGGAGAGGAAATCAAATACCATGTAGCTGAATTCTATGAAAAGTTTATAAAAGGATAATGAAAATAGACAAGTTGAAAGAGAAAATGAACTGAAAGTTCAAAGCAATTTTTCTCAATTTGTCCATAGTGAATACAGGGGAAATAAATTTGAAAAACTGTACAAGCTAACCAAAACAGTTCAAAATTTGAGAAACATATTAAAAAATATATAGAGAGAATCCTCAGAAAGATGTCAGAGAGAAAGAAATGCCTGATGTTTTAATAAAAACTGTTTAGAATTCATAACTTGCAGAAATAACCAAGTGAAGAGTGTCTGACATTGAGGACAAAATAATGAATTACACTGAGGTACTCAAAGAAGCCAGACACAAAAAGAGAGTGAACAAGAGAAGATCATCCAGAAATTACTAGATGAAATAAGAAGATGAATCTAAGACTACCTGGAGTTAGAGAAAAACTAGAAGATAACACAGATGGATTTACTAACGTGTTTAGAGAAATCACAGAAGAAAATCTCCCAAATGTAAGGAGTTTAAAAAACAACTAAGCAATCCTTACAGAACCCTAAACAAATATGACCCAAAAAGAAAAAGCTCACCAAGGCATATTCTTATTAAATTACCAGATATCCTGCAAAAAAAAAAAACCCAGAATTTTAAAAGCAATGGAAGAAAAACAAAAAATTACATATAAAGGTAAACCAATTAGACTCACAGCAGACTTCTCAGCACAAACCCTACTGGCCAAAAAAGCTTAGAATGAAGTATTTCCAGCCCTAAGAGCAAATAGCTTGCTACACACAGCAACTTATCAAGCAAAGCTATGCTTCAAAATAGATGGAGAAATAAAGTATTTCCATGGAAAGGATATAGGAATGCTAAATCAGCACTCAAGAAAACATATTAAAATATTCTTGATAGGAACAACAAAACCAACACAAGTAAAAACACAGAGAAAACAAAAACTCTAAAAAGGACAATTGATACATGACAAGAGAAAATGTCAGGAAAGGAAAAACAAAGGATTCATCCACAGATAAAGAAGCAATGATAGTAATATCTTAGTAATAGCTTTCAATATTAATAGTTTCAACTCTCCAATTAAAAGACATGGACTGGAAGCCTGGATCAAAAAACAAAATCCAACAATTGACTGCATTCAAGAAACTCATCTAATCCATCAACATAATCATAAACTCAAAATTGAAGGATGGAAAACAACATTTCATACACTGGAACCCCCAAAACAAGTAGAAGTAGAGCAATTATAATATCAGACATGATAAATTTCAAGTTAAAATGCATTAAAAGAGACAAAGACAGTCATTACATGTTAGAACAGGGAAGAATCTAACAAGAAGAGATAACACTGATAAACACATATGTACCCAATACTGGAGCACCTATCTTCATAAAACAAAAACTCCTGATATTAAGAGATCAAATAAACACTAACACAATCATAGTAGAGGATTTTAACATCCCACTTTCCCAGAGACAGATCAACTAAACAAAAAACCAATAAA